CTGATGTTCTAGGATAATTGAGATTATTTTTTCATCAATTTAGTAAGTATTCTTTTACAGGAATTCTTCATTCTGCTAAATTTTTACAAGTTAGCATAAAGCTGATTTATTAACTTCTCTTTCTCATTTATTTATCTATCTTTTTTGAGATAGTGTTTCATTATGCAGTTCAGGCTGGCCTTGAACTTACTTTGTAGTCCAGGCTGGCCTTGAACTCACAGGGATCCTCTTTCCTCAGTGCAGTGCTGGATTTGCAGGCATGTGCCACCATACCCAGCAACTGATTGATTGAGGTTTGTTTTTGAGATAAGGTCTCACTGCAGGCTGGCCCTGAACTCACTTATATAGCCCAGATTGGCCTTGAACTCATGGTGATCCTCCTGCCTCAGCCTCCCAAATGCTGTCATTATAATCTTTATATCTGTAGGATCTGTAGCAGTGTCCCATTTCAGTCTTGATGCTGTTATTTGTTCCTTTTCTGGTGTCGTGTTGTGTTTGTTTTGTTCTTTAAGACAGGATCTTGCTATGTATTTTAGTTTGGCCTTGAACTCATTTTGTAGCTCAGGTTGGCCTCGAACTCAGTGATTCCCTGCCTCAGCCTCCTGAGTGCTGTGATTACTCTGCCCACCTGTGTAGTTTTTCTGTTTGTGTGTAGTCTTTCTCACTAGGAGTGCAGTCATCCTTTCAGGCTGCTCTCCTCCTCCCCTCCTCTTTCTACCCTTTTCTACTCCCTCTTACTCCTCTTCGTTCTGTTCTTCCCTTCCCTTGTCTAATCTTCATCCTCATCTGTCTTAGTCTGTCTTCTCTTTCTGTAACTACCACAAACCAGATAATTTGTAAAGAAATTTATCTCTTATAGTTCTGAAAGCTGAGGAGTGCAAGCTTGAGGGCCTTTGGTGAGGCCAGAGGCAGAGGATGCCACAGGATAGTACATTGCCAGCTAGTACAGTCTCTCCTGTCCTTATAAAGCTGTCCATGGCCTCATTTAAACCTAATCACTTCCCAAAGACCCTACCTCTAAATACCATTTAAGTATAATTTTGGGAATTATGTCTCTAATCCATGGCATTTGGGGGATACATTGAGACTATAGCATCCTCTCGGAATGAATAAGCATAGCAAGACCCCCACAGCTGGGTGGACCTTGTCTGCTCTGCTGTTTCCAGTAGAGTTCTGGTTCTGTCCTCGCCTCCTGCCCTGTGACCTGAACATGGCAGGCATTTTATCTATGGCCATGTGAAAGGTGTGTGGAGACAGGAACCAGCAAAGCTTTCCCCCAGTCTCTTCTCTCACCTGTAACCCACTCCCTGAACAGCCCATCATACTCATGGAGGTGCTCTGCCCCCTCCTCCCTAGCTTCATACTTTTCTGCCCACATCCACACCTGTTGGCACTGATCGCCAGCTACTATATGACATCTCTTTCTCCTTTCTAAAGCTTCAGTCTTCTGTGCCTTTCAACCACTACTGTTCCTTTCAGGGACTGTCCACTTATATGTACTCTGCTCCTTGGGGTTTGTGTCCAGACATGGGGACTGTCAGCAGTGACCCGTGCCTCCCAGTTCGGCTCTGTCCACACTATCCATTTGGGTTACAAAAGCCTGAGCCAGCTGTATGCCAGGTGGTGACTCTGCACAGCAGCCTGCACCCCCCTGCTTGACAGGTTGTGCTGCTCACACAGCACTAACCCAGCCCCAGCCCGTGCAGCAGACTCCTCACTGCACTTTTCCTGGGAGGGTTTTTCCTACATTTTTGAAAAGTTTCTCTATCACTTCTCCTCCAGATACTTGGAAGTTAATTATTCTCATGAGAGTTCTTGGAGGACGTGTCCTGGCTGTGTTTAACCGTTTGCTGATTGGTGTGTTTGATTGCAGGTGATTGTGTTCTTGAAGAAGAAAGACAAGTTCACCAGCCTGGTGCTGAAGCACATGGGCACCTCGGCACTCATGGACCTGTTGTTGCGCCTTGTGAGCTGTGTGGAGCCCATGGGGCTTCGGCAGGAGGTCCTGCACGTGAGTGCCAGAGTTGTACCTTCTCATTCTCTGAAGGGGCCTAGATCCCGCTCCTTGGCAGGTGTCACCATCAGGGTTCCCATCTGCACCTCGTACTACTTCAGCCCGTTGAGAACACCCTGGTGCCTCCTCCCCTAGCATTCTCTGGTTGACTGTACTAAAATAGAAGCTAGCTTTGTTTACCTCCCATCCTTTCTCCTAAGGCACCACCAGATCTTGAGCAGGGGGCTCAGGATCTAAGACCGGGCAAAACTGTGTAGAAAACAAACTGACAGTGGCTCTACATGAAGGCTGACACTTTTCCTAGAGTCACACTAGGATGAGTCTGTCCTGAGGGTCAGTTAGAGGGCAAGCCTGTAGTCTCTTAAAAGAGAAGGGTTCCCAGCCCTGAGGATACACTTATGTTCCCTGTCATTTGGCAGGCTTTGTGCTGCAGTTTGAATTAAAGCTACAAGCTTTTGGGACTTTGCTTTTTATTGTCAGGTATCATAAGTGATTATTCTACTCTTGGAATGATAACTCATTTCCTCAAGGTGCTGACATTTACAATGCATGACATACACATAAGCCGCTGTTAGTAACTCCTAGTGGGAATCCTGCACAACTACATCATACAGCCTTTACTTGTGTAACTTTATTCAGTTTTCAGAGCAGCCCTGTGGGTCAGTTTTCCACCCTCAGATGAGTCTGAGATACAGGGCACCAAATGCACCAGAGGAGCCAGGTTTGCCAGCTCTGCCGTACCCTGACATGGTCACACTGGGCCTCCATTGCCCTTGACCTTGAAGAATGTCAGCTTCAGCCTTTACTGCACTCATATAGCTAGGCCAGGATCTTTCTGCTCTTCCTGATCCCAGAAAGCCCTGCTACTACAGAGAGCTGCAGCATATCTGGCTTCCACATTCAGCTTGGCAACAGGGCTCATTTCTTTGGGCCCATCTGCACCCTGGGATTCTGAGATGTGTCCCAAAGAGTGTGTGCACCATTAAGATAAAGAGAAAGTGGTTCACCCACTTAAACTCTTTCAGGCACCCTTAAGAATTCATTTACTGTGTTCTCTGGGTCCATTCTAGGTCAGGCAGAGCCTGTCCTAGGAAGCCTGGGTGTGTGGATTTCTGCTATACCAAAGGAACATCTCTACATTTAGTTAGGTGTGAGCAGAGATGTTGATGGGCCTCCCCCCACTCTCTTTTCAGTGGCTTAATGAAGAGAAAATCATCCAGAGACTTGTGGAGTTGATCCATCCACATCAGGATGAAGACGTGAGTCTCACAAAGCTCATCTGCTTGCATTAAAGCCTGTGTTTGGGCTGTCAGAGCACTTGCTGCTGCTAAGGTGAGGGGTGGGAGGCAAGTTGCTTCTCTCCTCTGAGGGCAAGTTGGATACATCTTTTCCTTTAATCGTGTTTTAACATCTTGGAAGGTATTTGTTTGCTTACTTATTACTAAAAATTAATGCATAACAGAACTGGGGGTATAGCCCAGTGAGTACTTGCTAGTGTGTTCCAGGCCCTCTGTTTGATTCCCAGTAGTCTAAACAGAAATGAAGCAGCATAGGATTTCAGTGTGGCAAGTGATTACTTCTTGAATTTTTGGATGAGATCAAGTATAATGTGGCTAGTGAGGACTAACTAGCCCAGCCCCCAAATTATAACACATGTATAAAAAAATTATTACATATGTTTTATAAAAAGTCTAGCTGGGCATGGTGGCTCACGTCTGTAATCCCAGCACTCAAGAGACTGAACAAGAGGACTGCTATGAGTTCAAGGCCAGCCTGGGCTAGTGAGTTCAAGATTCACTGTAGTTTTTTTGAGTTAGGGTCTCACTGTGTAGTTTAGGTTAGCCTTTAATTCACTGTGTAACCAGGCTGACCTGAAACTCATGGAAATCGTCTTGCCTCAGCCTCCCAAGTACTGGAATTACGGTGTGTGCCACCATGCCCAGACATTCTGCTCTTTAAATTTGAATGGGGTCAGCCTACATGAGGAGAGTAGTTGGCTGGGGACCTCCTGGAAGCTTTCTACTGTAACTCCAGAAACATAGAAAGTGATCTGTGGACACAGAAGGAAAAGGCATCTTCAACTCAGGATCTCCTGCTGAGCCATCACAACACAGATCTCTTTGCATGTCAGATGCAGAAGAGTTATCTCATACACCAGGTGAGCTGGTTAGGATCCCAGCTGGCTCTCTTCTGGCTCTCTTCTGCTTCAGTTTGGTTCTGAATCTAGTTGGAGTTTGCTTCAGGTCCCACAGGTTGAGGGTTTCATCACGAGGACTGCCTTCCTCACTTTTTTTTTTTGAGAAATACTAAATATTCCTTATTTCATATTATGCATATACCACACTAAAATACCTTTAAGTAAGTAAAAGGTAACACTTTTTAGATACAGGGAGTTCTAATTAAATTGGCATAGTCAAGACCAAAAATATAAACATTGTTCCTTGTCTTCAACCACTCCCTTTAACAGGCTAATAAACACAAATTGAAACAGGGGAATCTTGCTTGGTTTTGAGAATGAAGGATTTCCCCAGTATTCTCCAGTAGTTACATAAATCTAAATATAAAACCAACCTTCAATAGGTTTTGGGATGGCATTCTCAATCTTTATGAAAAGACAAACATTACTAATCAGGTCTAACCATGTATTTAGAAAGGAAAAACAGTGATAGTATTTATTGAACTGGAATTGTTATCAAAACTTGAGGGGCTGAGGATTTAGCTCAGCAGCATAAAGTGCCTGCCTTGCAAGCAGGCAGTCATGAGCTCGATCTCCAGTACTGATAAAAAGGGAAAAGACAAAAAAAAAAAAAAAAAAAAACCTTGAAAAAATCCATTTAACTATAAGCCAGTTTTCCCTAAATCAGGACTATGCAACAGAAATATTCTGCCAGCCACTCATGATTTGAATTCTGATGTATGAGATCTGTTAAATTATGGTACACATAAAAAAGCTATGAGAAATTTCTGGTCTATAATAAATAAGGCAGTGACTATTATTCAGTAGTAGCCTTTTTGAGGTAAGCTATTAAGTCTTCCCTTTCTCCCTTCTTGTTGCCAGTGAAGATCATTTTTGTTGCAGGGACGTATTTCTTCAGATTCTCCAAATACTCCATCAATATATTCCCTCCCCAAGTGGTGCCTTTGTTCTTGTTGGCATCTGTGTAAAATAATCCAGGAGCCTGACTTGTCTTCCTCCCAAGCAGAGCATGGGGATTCGGTCTAGTCTTGTGCTTGCCTCCCTTCTCAACCGTGTGGCACTGGGCACACTTCTGTACAAAAATCTTCTTGCCTTTCTCAACATCACCCATTTTTAAACCTGCTACAGCTTCCATGCCAAGTGGTCACTGCTCTTTCCTAGTTACCACGAGGAAGGTTCCAGTTTAGAAGCCAGACATCTGGCTCTTAGCCCAAGGACACATGAATCCACAGCTAAGTACCAGCATTGGTCCCTCACTTTTGATACCAGTCACAAGCCTCAGGTTTTCTTCCCTGTGCTTCTGACTGGCTGGCTATAAATCAGGCTTCCTTGGTTTGATTAAATTGCTTGAGAGGCAAGAATTTAAGGAAACACATATCCTGGTTTATTATAAAGTTAATACAAAGGGTAGAGATGAAGAAATGTGTAAAGCAGGGTATTGAGGAAAGGGTCTGGAGCCTCCATCCCTGCTCCGGTGTGGCCAAAGGACCTTCTCCCTGCTCCTGAAGCTACCTAATCCCAACGTCTGGGGTTTTTATGAAGACTTTAGAGTGTAGGCATGATTGCTAATAGAACAGGAGGGGAAGCCCAGCAAGACTTCCTGCTCAGATTCCTTTTGGCCTCTCTGTGCAGCCTTCTTCCTCCCAGGGCCTGGTGCAGGATCCCTCTGAAGCAGGAGGGTTTTGTCATATAGGTGGGTCAGGGTCATGAACCAGGAACTGTGGATGAAACCCAAATATTCAAGCCAGGGATGGCAGCACACTCCTGCCATCCCAGCACTTAGGGAAAAGGCAGGAGCATCACAGCAAGTCTGAGGCCAGTCTTGGCTACACAGTGAGTTCAAGGCCAGCCTGAACTGGCCTTGTCTCAAAAATACATTTGAACTGTAGCATCGTAGGTGACAGCATGGCTGCTTCTCTCAGCTGCCTCACTGGTCTCTGTGGTAGTCACTGGTGAGCGTTTAGTTATATCCCGAGAGGCCTATGTTTATGCTTTGGGTGTATTTACACACACACACACACACACACACACACACACACACACACACACTTTCTGATCTCAGCAGTTTTGAAAACGTTGGTGTCAAGGAAGTTGCCGTTAGAGAGAGCGTGGTGGTTGGTGTGACCTTTGTCAGATTGCACCACAGGGGCCAGGGCCAGAAAGTGCAGCATGTGAGAGTGCAGGCCATCAGCCTCATCCTCAGGTCCTTGCAGAAGCGCTCCCGGATTCAGGTGTGGCTGTATGAGCAAGTGAGTATGCAGACAGAGGAGCTGTAGTACTGGTTTGGATGAGTACATGAACCTTGTATTCAATGATGCTGAAGAAATTCATTCTAAAACAAAGTCAAGAAAACAACTAGGTCAGATCATGCTGAAAGGAGACAATATTACTCTGGTACAAGAGTCTCCAACAAAAAATGATCAATGAAAGCCATGAAGTGAGGCAATGGCAATTATGGTAATATGTAAGAAAGGCAGCTGATTAAGTGGGAGTATTTGTAAAACGTTTGTTCATATTGTTTTACTACCCTTATGTTTTTACTGGAAGCCAATAAATGTAAGGTGGTTTTTATTTTTTAAAAAAGTAAAAAAAGAAAATATTGGTGTCAACTCATGTCCAAGGTGTTCATTATTGCCTGGTCACTATTTGTCCTCTGACAGCCCACTGGGCCAGCCAGACGGTTGGGAGAGGCTGCGTTGGCTTCTGTAGGAAGCAAAGAGACCACCTTGTCTGAGATTCACTCAAGGTGTGAATGTCATGGGTTGACTGCCAGAGACAGCTGGCTGTTGTCCTGTCCCTGAAGTAGGCTTACCGCAGCGCATGTGCCAATGCTTGGGGAGTCGGGTGCATTTTTTCCTGGGTCATACTGTGCCCCCACCGAGTACCCCACTGTAAGCCAGTGAACATTTAAGTCAAGGTGGGGAAGGGGCAGTATTCATGTCTCTTCAGGAAAATTGAGTTTCCTCTTTTCTCTGTAGCAGCTTTCCTATTTTTCCTTAGTTCACAGGACTCATTCTGAATAATAGCAGCTACTTATTAAATTTAAAATATACTCTGTTTCGTATATTTCAAAACTTGGGTCAAAGCTATAGAGTAACGTCTGTGCAGTGTATTTGACCATTTGGGGCCCCATTCTGAATACACAGTGGTCATGCAGTGTAGGTAAAGGAAAAAAACTAACCAGATCTCTATTTTTTCTTTCCCCAATACTGAGGACTGACTCAGGGGCGTTGTGCTGAACTACATACTTGGCTGTTTTTTAAATTTTTATTTTATTTTGAGACAGGGTCTTGCTAAGTTGCTCAAGTAAGACTTGAACTTTATAATCGTTCTGCTCCAGCCTCCCAAGTACTGGTACTAAAGATGCGTACTAGTGCCCAGCTCAAGTCTACATCTTTCCCAAACTGCTTTGAAATGAGCCATTTAGTTTGTGTAGAAAACTGCCTCCGAGAAAGTTTTTTTTTTTTTTTTTTTTTTCTTTTTCAAGACAGAATCTTGCTCTGTAGTTCAGACTGCCCTTGAACTCACACGTACCCCAGGCTGGCCTTGAGCTCGCAAGGATCCTCCCTCCTCAGCCTCCCAAGTGCCAGAATTATAGGCACACATTACCACACCTGGCCTCCTCCAGGAAAATTTGAATCTGGCAGTGGGCTGGTCTTGCTGCCAGCTGTTGGTGGCTGAGATATCTGTTTCCCTGTCTTTGCAGAGGCAGTCAAATGCTTCTCAGGCACTGTGTGACATTGTCAGGCTGAGCCGAGACCAGAGCAGTCAGCTGCAAGAGACTCTGAAGCCAGACCCCCTTCTTGTAGCACTGGAGTCGTGAGTACTGGGGAGGGGGGGTCCCGCTGTGGGCCTTGCTCCAGACCATGGAGATGTGCTGCAGCCCTGCTGAGCTCCAGGAGATGCGACAGTCACCTCGGCTTCAGAGTCTGATGAGCTCCCCAGTTCAGAGCCCAGGCAGGGTCTTGAGTCCCCAGCAACACAGGACACTGCAGCTCTGCCTGGAGTGGGGCACTGGGGGGTCCTCCATGGAGGAGAGTGTCGCTGTGTCACATCTGTCTTCTCTGACAGGCATTGACCTCTGTGTGTGCCCGACAGGCAGGACTGTGTGGAGCAGCTTCTAAAGAACATGTTTGATGGAGACCAGACAGAGAGCTGCCTGGTCAGCGGAATGCAGGTGCTGCTTGCCTTGCTGGAGCCACGGCGGGCTGGGTGAGCTTCTCCCTGGGAAAGTGACCCAAGTTGCTCTGATATTGCAGGACATGGGTGCCTAGAGAATGGCTGGACTCTATGTCTTTGATTATATTTTGGTTATACAAGTAAAAATGTAGGGGCCAAGGATTTAGCTCAGTGACTTAAGCACCTGCCTAATAAGCGCAGTCATGAGTTCAATCCTTGACACACACACAAAAAAGTGGATAGCTGCCCCTGGTTGCAAAGGGCAACATTAGCCAAGTGTAGTGATACCACCTATAACTCCAGCTCCTCAGGAGGTTGATGCAAGGGGATCACAAGTTCAAGACCAATCTGGGCTGGGGATGTGGCTTAGTAGTAGGGCGTTTACCTAGCATGGGCAAGGCCCCGGATTTAATCCCTAGTGCTGGAAAAAGAAAAGGGAAGAGAAGAGGTCAGCTTTTTGTTTGCATCCAAATCTTTGCTGGCTCTCACTATGAGCATCGTGCATTTATATGTGTGTAGAGTAAGCTAGTTTCCCAGCACTGCTCCAACAGATCCTTGTAGCTCACTAGCTGCGGGGGCTTCCACTCTGACATACAGCTATATTTTCATGTGTTTACGGTATCTCCCATGCCAGGGCAGGATCTCATCTTTGTCTTTTAAATCAAGTGAAGATGCGTACTCATCTGTCTATGAGCCCCGAGTCAGGCACAGGGCCATCCTCCACCTTTTTTCTCACTCATCAAGTGTTGTTTGAATGCCTACCATGCTGCTCACATGGGGGTCCTAGGAAACAAAGGTAACTGAGATGTGGCCTCTCTTCCATGGCTCCCAGTTGGCCCAGAAGGTCAGCTTGTGGACAGTAGTTCTGCTGTATGGAAAGCACAGTAGTCAGGTGCCCGGGAGGCAAGTTCACAAGGTCAGGCTGTTAGATGGTCCTTGCTAGTCAGGGAGCATGTTTCTCAAGAGGCTCCAAATAGAGATAGTCTGGAGAGTGAGAGGGTCCTGGTATGATGGGTAGAGACAGGTGGAGCTTGTGTGGCGGCACACCTGTGTCGTGACTCTTGGGGAGGTTACCACACTGGCTATCCTCAGGCACAGTTATCAGAGCCTATTGAGGCAGAGGCAGCAGAATGCAAGTTCTCAGCCAAGACAGGGAAACAGCAAGAGACATAAATTTGGATGAAAGACTGGGTTCATGGAGGATATAAGATCTCTCCCAGATACCAGGCAGAAACCTTTGGAGATATTTGAAACGGCTTTGAGCATGCACAGGGGCAGTGCCAGAGCCATTGAAAGTGGGATGATCTGAGGTCACTTGTGCACTGCAGACTACAGACAGCAGTGTGGGGACTCAGCGGCCCATGAAGCCCTTGCAGGTCTTGCTCTCAAGGAGGCATGAAGATGGTGGGTGCTGTTTTTCTGGGTGCTTGCTCAGGGCCTCCCCTGTGGGGCAGTGGTCTGATCTAAGATGACTGCAGTTCCATTATTGCCGTATGCTAGGGGGAACCTCATCACCCCTGGAACTCATAGCTTATGTTTTTTCCCTTTAAAAAGAGAAAAGACAAGAAATTGGCTTCATATTAGTAGTGAGATTATTCCCTCTTTCCTTCCCTCCACCATATATAGTTATTAGTTTACTATCTAAAAGTAGAATTATATTCATCAAGTAGAATATTGATTTATCTTTATAAATTCAGGGAACCATGGAGAGACAATATAAGTTAGCAAAACAGATAAGCCAACTGTTTCTCTGTTTTTTCTTAAATCCTTTTATGTATTTAGAATTTTTTCTTTAGCAGTATCTATTGCTTTTATTATTGGAAAAATATTTAAATAAATATCTCACTTAGAGAAATTTCCTTGAAAAACCAAAGAGATAATGTGACCAGTCTGTCTCCTACTTCTTGGTTTAGGCCTGGAGACACCAGTAAA